CACACACACACACACACACACACACACACACACACACACACACACACCCACACACACCACACACCACACACACACGCATATATATATATATATATATATATATATATATATATATATATACGTATATATAGAGAGAGTGCCATGTATGTATTAGAACCCGCGCACGAATCGACAGTGTCCATTACCAAGAAAATCAGCTGATCATCCTTATCTGACATAGAGCCGACGTATAAAAGTAATGGACCATCTAAAGACATATAAGAGTGATAAACTAGAAAGGCCATCATAATCCAACGACGTTTTATAGTTTGGAAATCTGTCACACCCCGTTAGTTCAGGGACCGTCGATGGGCGTGTCTTTGAATTTCTAACTTGGTCGAACCTTGTCTCGATCCTCGTTAATGGATCAAAGCTATTTACAGGGTGCTTGGGTCTTCAGTGCGAATGGAACAGGATTCGTTCTTTCGAAACGGCCTTCGAATAATAAATAGTACGGAATGAGTGGGTGAAAAAAACACGATTTCGAAGGACAGTCTTACTAAAACTGAATAATACTAAAAAATCTATACTCAGGCACTGTGTCGAACCGACGATCCGAACCCGTGCTGATTCATCAACACTGCTTCGAAAATGTTACTCCAACGAGAATAAACACCTGCGAGATTGGAATGGTACGCAAGTTTCCCTGTGTTTTAGGTACTCATTCTCGCGTCGTATAACCATCCTCCTTCGTACCCAGTTCTTCCGGGATTATTGTCAACAGCAACCGTCTGGGACTCACGTAACGTCGGCATCTTTTCTTAGATTAGTGTTTTAGGGATCCAGCGTTAAGCTAACACACCTGACACCTGTGTACTATTGTGTAGTTCTCTCGAGGCGACACCTGTGCGGATTCTCTGCGGTTAAGCCGATTCGAGGAGCTAATGTTCGTCAGGTAGATTTAGGTTATCAGAAGGGTTTTGGGTGTAGATATTAGGCCAAGTGACAGAGGAAGAGAGGGGGTGGAGAGAGAGAGAGAGAGAGAGAGAGAGAGAGAGAGAGAGAGAGAGAGAGAGAGAGAGAGAGAGAGAGAGGGAGGGAGGGAGGGAGAGAGAGAGGGGGCGGAGGGAGAGAGAGAGAGAAAGAGGAAGAAAGAGAGCGATTGAGAGAAGGGAGATATTAAGAAAGAGGGAGGGAGAGAAAGGGAAGAGAGAGAGAGAAAGGGAGAGAGAGAGAGAAAGGGAGAGAGAGAGAGAAAGGGAGAGAGAGAGAGAGGGAGGGAGGGAAGGAGAGAGAGAGATAAAGGGAAGGAGGGAGAGAAAGGGAGAGATTAAGAGAGAGAGAGAAAGAGCGAAAGATAGAAAGAGAGAGGGAGAGAGAAAAGGGAAGAGAGAGATGGAAACAGGAACAGAGAGAGAGATGGAGAGACAGAGAGAGAGGGAGGAGGAGAGAGAGAGGGAAAGGGGAAGAGAGGGAGGGAGAGATATAGAGAGGGGAAGAGAGAGAGAGAGAGAAATAGATATAGATAGAAAGAGAGGGAGAGGGAGGGAGGGAGGGAGAGGGACAGAAACTGATAGACAGATAGAGACAGGCGCAGGAAGAGGGACGAAGACACAGAAACGGACAAATGGAGAAAGTCACAGAAAGAGACAGAGGCGAACTGATACTTATAATACTCTTTTTTTTTTTACATAATTTCAACCAGTCCTTAAGTCCTTACTTAGCCAGACAGAGAGAGGAAAAGAAAGAGACAGAGGTAGACAGAGAGAGAAACATAGAGACAGAAACAGAGACATAGAAACAGACAGAGAGATAGAGAAATAGACAAAGAGACATAGACTGAAACAGACAGAGAAACAGACAGAGACTTAGAAACAGATAGAGAGGTGATTACGATAAAAGTGTGAGATAGCAGAGGAGATCAACATAACTCGCTCGATTGTCGTTCAATCCACTTAACTGCCTCCGATCTCCCTACATTGGACTTCAGATAACTAGGACTTCTCTTGGCGCTTCAATGGACATGGGATTTCGAAGTTTGTCAGGTCCTCTTGTGGATGAACAGCGCCGTCCGGTTTGTTTCTGATTCTCTCTCTCTCTCTCTCTCTCTCTCTCTCTCTCTCTCTCTCTCTCTCTCTCTCTCTCTCTCTCTCTCTCTCATTTTTTTCTCAATATTTCGTGTTAAATCTGATGTCGTTCTTTATCAATTTAATAAAACTCCGCTGAAAGTTTCTTTCCTTTTAACGTTATTGATTTATTTGATTTTCATCCATCACATTAGACGTAGTTGATAAACAGTATAATGCATATAGCTTTTCAATACACTGAACAGAATACAAGAGTGCTTAATCACCTAAGTGTTTCTTTATCTGCTAAATGGTCAGACTCTGTGGCTGACATTCCACTATCAGCTGACAGTCCGTCGACCACTATCAGGCAACAGACCACTTTGGCAACGAAGACATGTTAATGCATACCTCTCAAAGACTAAGTCACTTGCTTTAAAGTGAAATCTCGTGTCATCTGTTTTTTTCACGTTTTTAAAGAGTTATCAGAACTATATAAGGGAAAAAAAATGCATGATTGTGTCCGTCAGTACATTCAACATATCCATTCAAGATATCCATCAATCACTACAC